TCAACTTGATGGCAATCAACAACAGTAATATATTTATACATATGTCTAAATCTCTAATAAACAGAAAACACAGCTACAGTTATTCAACAGATAGGAATGTGTTTATTTCATGCAACAGAAATTCTGGGAGAATATGGGACAAAAAGAAAGACAAAAGGGATAATATAAGAAGATACAATGGCTTTAACTTAATATAATGAAATTTTAGTTGGAGCGCAATGGTTCAACAATTTTATCAGAAATTCAGAGGCTTTCCATCTTTCTATTTTACTGTATCTACTGCAGCCTTCAGTATGGACTGAGGCTCAATGTCAAGAAGACAAAGATTCTCACCACTGGACCAACTGGTAGCATCAGGATGGATGGCGAAGAGACTGAGATTGTTCACAGCTTCAGTTTGCTCGGCTCGACAGTCAACATTCTTGGCACCAGCAGCCAGGAAATCAAAAAACGTATTGCGATGGGAAAGTCTGCTGTCAGGGACCTCTCTGAAGTACTCAAGAGCAACGGTGTCTCTTTGGAGACGAAGGTGCGCCTGATACAGGCCATGGTCTTTGCAATCACTTGTTATGCATCAGAGAGCTGGACAATGACTAGGGAGGACAGAAGGAGAATTGACGCCTTTGAGCTGTAGTGCTGGAGAAGAGTATTGAATGTACCATGGACTGCCAAGAAAACAAACAGATTCATCCTAGAGAGGGTTAAACCAGGCTACTCCTTGGAGGCAAAGATTCTGGGGCTTCGTCTGACATACTTTGGACATGCTGCAAGGAGAGACAGGTCTTTGGAGAGGGACATCATGCTGGGTATAGTAGACGGACAGCACAGGAGGGGAAGACCCTCTATGAGGTGGATTGATTCAGTGACTGGGGTAATCGGGATGGGTGTGTCAGAGGCAATGCGATTGGCACAGGATAGAGCAGGGTTTAGGGCTGTTGTACATAGGGTCGCCATGAGTCACAAACGACTCGACGGCACATAACAACAACAACAACAACACCTTTTTCTTATAGTATTCACTTTATGGTTGCAAGGCAGATTGTTCAAATTTAGGTTTTCACCTAAACTCATCCCAGTCAAGAATGGAATAAAGAGGGAAGGCCTAAAGAATAGGCCCCCTCATACTAGCTTTTAGAAGAGTCTAAAGGTCATCACCCAACTGCAGTTTTAACTCATTGGTAATAATTACATCACATGAAACAACTAGTTGCAAGGTTTTATGAGACTGTGTAGCTCTTTTTATATATTGCTTGCCTACAGAAATTGGGCACAAAATCCTTCTTTCTTTATGTCCCCTCTGTTTCTTTTTTCCCCCCTACATTTTGCTCTACTTTTATTGATGTACAGACGTTTTGTTGAATACCCTCTGTTTCTTTCAATCCAAAGTAACAGTATTTCTGGTAACAACATTCTTAAGAAACTTAAGAATGGATCCCCTATGAATGTCACAAGGGTTCACTCCATTAGACAGAAAGCACCTACACAGTTCTTTCCTGGATGATTCCATCTCTACCCCTGGTTTTGGCTGAGATGTCTGAGTTAATCTCTTCAAAGAACTTTCAATATGGCTGAGTACTCTGCTCTCGTGATTTTTTTTTTGAGACACCAGCAAAAGATTTTCCAGTATCCTCCTGGTTTTATGTCCATATTATGCTTTACTACCATCATATTTTTTATTTTCACATATTTTGCAATGTAAATAAGCGGAAAATTTCTCAGACCATAAGGGTTTGTGTTTTGTTTTTTTGGTTTTTTTTTCACTTAGATTTTATTGGACCATCTCTCTCACATTTTACTATAAACAACAAGAAGAAACCAGGCCGAAACTTCAACACTCGGTAGGGAAATCTCCTTGACTAAACACCCAAGTTCATAGTTTATAACTTCTGCTTTCCACATAACTGTAGGATATAATTAAACTAAGATTTTCCCCACAATAGAACATATTTCTGTTCATCTAGTTTCTATTTCCAATGACATGTTCCTCATTTCCTTCTGAACCCTCACCACCAGCAATGCCTTTAATATCCAGATTTCTTCTACCAACAGTCAGTTAACAGTGATTTAGTTTCTAAAGACAATAAATACCATTTTCTCAACTATTTTTCATGTTGTTCTTGGTCTGTACCATCAAGCTGGAAGTGACCCAGAGCTGATCCTCCAGCAGGTTTCCAAAGGCAGTAAATCAAACCAGGAGGAGGATGCCCATCTTCTTTCATGGAGTAGCTAGTGGATTTAAAAAAAAAAACCTACCTTCACATTCTGGTAGCAGGAGCAGGAGCGGCATCCACTTCCGAAATGGCTTGCCTCTGGAAACTCTATGTATGAACAGTGCTCAGGCTGTTCGTTCATAGGGTCACTATGAGTCGTCTACGACTCGACGGCATCAAACAACAACAACAACACCACCTTCACATTAGCAGTACAATTCCTTGCCACCAAGCCATTACAGCATCCTATGCTTCATGCTTCCAATCCCTCACTAGCAGAATTGTCAACATTCTTATTTGTATAACAAAACTAAAAGCATTCTAGGCTTTTTCTAGAATGCATCTGAAAATTCTTTCTGTTTCTGTCTGTTGTCCAATTCTAACATCACTTCCACACTCTTAGGTATTTATTAAAGCAGCACCACTTCCAATGTTAAAAAATCTATTTCAGTCAGGGCTCAATAAAAAAGGATAATGGGATATAAATGTTCAGATATTGATAGCAAGTAATTAACAATTTAATTATGGGGGCTGGCTAGGTAAGTCCAAAATCCATGGGCTAGCCTATCAAAAAAAGAAGGTTGGAACTCTGGGGTATAACCTGATGTTGCTGTCCACCAAACCTGGTTCAAATTTACCAGCTGCTCTGTGGGAGAAAGACAGGCAGTCTAATCCTGTATGGTTTACTAGCTCTGAAAACCCACTAGCGGGTCAACTATGAGTTGGTATGCAGCAAAAATCAGAACAAATTTCACATGAAACTTAGTTCCTCTTTCTATATTGTTGTTGCTGATATTGTTAAGTGCTGTCAAATATGACTTGTGGTGACCATATTAAAAATATGAACCCTCTCCTATCCTGTATCATCTCACAATCTCTGACACACTTGACCCTATTGCTGCAGTCACTGTGTCAATCTACCTGGTTGAGGGCCTTTCATTTGTCATCCCTTCCCCTTCCCAGGCAAGATATTCCTCTCCAATGAATAGTGTCTCTTAGCAACAAGTCCAAAGTATGTGATATGGAGTTTTATCATGTCTCTTAGCAACAAGTCCAAAGTATGTGATACGGAGTTTTATCATCTTTGCTTCCAAGGAGTACTCTTGGCTGAACCTCACCAAGACATATCTTGTTTGTTTTTGTGGTAGTCCACCCATAAGATATTCAGTACTCTTCTCCAACACCACAGTTCAAAAGCATCAATTCAGGGGAGCTCTGGTGGCCTAGTGGCAAGAAGCTGCAACTATAATCCCAGAGGTGCACAGTTCGAATCCACCAGATGCTCTGCCGGGGAAGGAGGGGCAATCTCCCCCTGTACCAGTCAGATCTGATTTGACGGTACACGCACACAAAAATAATAAAATAAAAAAAATAAAATTTAAAAAAAAGCATCAATTCTTCTTCTGTCATCCTCGGTCACTGTCCAGCTCTCAGCATCACAGTAGTGATTGAGAAGATCATGGCCTGCATCATGCATACCTTAGTCCTCAAACTAACATCATTGCTCCTCAATAATCTAGAGAGGTCCCTAACTCAGACTTTGTAAGTGGTCTACATCTCCTGATCTCCTGACTGCTGATACCACGTGTATTGGTTGTGAATCCAGGTAAGATGAAGTAGCTGACAGTTTCAATTTTTCTCCATGGGAATCCCAGAATACTTCATTGTGCTTATGAGAAACCTACAGCTAGACCTAAAGGCTATTATGCAAACAGAACAAGGGAATACTAAATGGTTTGAAATTTAAAAGGTATGTGTCAGAGTTGTATCCTTTCCCCACACCTATTCAATATGTATGCTGAGTAAATTATTCGAGAAGCTGGATTCTACAAAGAAGAATATGGCCTCAGGACTGGAGGAAGACTCATCAATAACCTTTGTTATGCTGATGAGAAGATTGCTGACAACATTGATCACTGAAAGTGAGGAGAACCTGAAGTGCTAGCTGCAGAAGATCAAAGACTACAGCCTTCAATATGAACTGCATCTCAAGGTCAAGAAAACAAAAATTCTCACCACTGGACCTATGGACAAAATCATGATAAATGCAGTAAAGATTGAAACTTTTCCATATTGTATGGAATAATCACAGGTTGGGAATTGTTTAATAAAATTAATACATTGAAAGATACATATTGTTTCCTTTGGAAAAACAAAAATGTAAAATAAGATATTCAGGAGAAATTAGCTATGGATAAATATGTATTGTTGCACTGCAGGCTGAAAAGGTACAGAAAAGCCTTGCCTTTGAAAAGAACAAAAAGACTATGAACATTAAAAACAAAAATGAAGATTAAAGAAATTCCTATGTGATCTCTAAATAGTAGGAATATGCTTTTTTAAAATTATAAGTATGCTTTGCAAGAGGTTTCAAGTCATGTTTTCCTTCAAGGATGAGTATTAAAAAACTAATTAAATATGAACTATGAAATTTCATGGTAAAATATTTACCAGGAAATCAGTAACTGAAAAAATATTGTAGAACTACCCAGGCAATAAAACCATGAGTAACAGTAACAATAAATATAGCTGAGAAAGTGGAATTAAAGATTATTACATGGTTTAAAAAGAGGAATAAAGATAGGCAAGGACTCAAAATTAATACAGTCAATGGGATGTTTCAGAGACCAAAACTATTCTGAAAATTGGAATTTCCCTGTTTTCCTGTCAGAATCCCCGTTAGAAGATAGGCGTCAAGAATTTTAATTTACAACGCGCAGATTCTCCCATAACCTTGTACTGGTATCTATGGTCAGGGTCCCTGTGCTGCTCACGGGCACCAAGTGGCCCTTAATCACTGAAAAGCAACTTACTGAGGTGGCCCTGTTCCTTCTGCAACTGCACCACAATAAACAAGAGCAAAGAGATTAGAGTGATGAGACGCATTCCAACTCAATAACCAAGTAGACAGGGAGTCAGATTGATCCTCATCCATGGCCACTGCGGGAAGCAGCATGTAGGGCTGTGTGAAGCCATCCACCAGAAAGAGCACCCGCAGCCTGACAGTGACAGACAGTGGCAGCTCTCCAGTTTCCTTGACTAGCACTATGAGTCTGTGCTTGGGCACTCTGCGCTTGCTCTGCAACCTGGCAGTGCGCACCTCACCACTGTGTGCCCACATGCTGAACAGCCAGGGCTTTGTTCACCACCATCACTTTGGTCACCAGGTAGCCTGCCTCGGCCACCCTGGGCACCAGCTCAGTGCAGGGCACAGAGCCATTCTGCATTAGGAACAGCAGGAAGGGCGTGTTGTCATTGTCGTCCACGATCACCATGCCCACTAGGCCTCGCTGCTCATGGCAGGGGGAACCCCATGTGGAATTCAAGGCTCCAGGGCCTCATAGTCCAGCCATCTGACAGCGAACAAGTGTCCATTATTGCCGCTGAAAGAGACCAAGGAGCTGAGCGAGAGAGAGGTGGGGGTTCTGGGTCAGCAGTAGTAATTAATCTGGGTGTTGGGATCTGAATCTTTGTGTGTGGTGCTAATGGTGCCCATGTGCAGGGCAGGGCTGATGTAGGAGGTTTGGGTGAAAGTTGTTGTTGTGTACCGTCAAGTTAGAACCGAGGCATAGCTGACTCTTCAGCTGGTTTTCAGAGGCAGTTACTCTTAACGGGAGAAGATTGAGCCTCTTTCTCCCACAGATCAGCAGGTGGCCTTGAACTGCATGCCTTTGTGATTGCAGCGCAGCTTCTTGGGTGAAAGTAAATACATTATCACTGAGTCGAACACCAGTTCTGTTATTATATGCTCAGTTTTCAGCCTGGGAAATCTCAAATCAATGACAATGATGGTGATACTATGCTCAGCTCTGCTTTCTCTATCCAGTGCCCTACTGCTAGGATAGTGTCGAAATTCTTGGCAGATGGCTTTAGAAGGGAGATTGCCCTCAATGGAACAAATCTTTTGTTGTCTCCAGAGGTGCCATCTCAAATTCTAAACAGTGCCACTTCTGTCTCTGTGGAATTTTTACATTAGGGTTAGGGAATAATAGAGTTAAGGGATTAGGGCTCGTAAGTGATGAAGCAGTCAGTTTGGGGGAGTTATCATTGACATCTGCCACCTTAATGGAGACAGCATTACCCAGGAAGCCCAGATGCCCCTATATCCAGCTCATATAAGGATATTGCCTCAAAATCTAAGTTTTCAATCAGTCAAACTTCTCTGGAAAGATAGTTTAGCGCAAGAGTTTTGCTAGAGCAAAGTGAGTATGATATTTCTTCATTAGTTCCAGTGTACCAACCCTTAGGGGAGACTTGGACAACTAAAGAGCCTTGGGGCTGTCTGGGCATTGTCACTGACGTCCAAAACCAAGATTTGGTTCAGATTTGGGCGGAGAGCCGCCATCTAGAGCTGTGATTGCTATTCTGAACTCAGACTGCTCTTTGGGTTTCTTATGCAGCACCAGCTCAGGTTATTTCCTGCCATCTATCCCCTTCTGGAAGGCGGAAACATGGAAATAAGAACTGAGACTAAGATGATCTTTTTGGACATTGTTGTTGCCCACACCCAAGTCCTCGGCTTTTTTTTTTCAGAGGAAATATTGCCTCATATTGGGTATACTGTATACTGTATACTGGGATTTTTAGGGTCATTTCTCTTCTCGAAAACTCGGGAGAACAATCACTTGTGTCTCTTGCCAACAGGTCAGTGAAACACGGTCAGTAATTTTTTTTCAATAACACTCGGAAATACATTACAGGGTTCGGTGGGGGCGCACAACTCCTCCTGGTCCAATTTCTCATTTGATATCAACTTCCTGGTCTGCAGGTCAAGCTTTATGTAAGCATTTCTACCCTCAGAAACCACTCGAGCTTCCCGTGCAGCTCTGCGACTTCCCGCGACCGGGTTGGCTACAAAGGAGCCCTCCCTCTTTTCAGCAGCAGGGAGTAACATAGGACCTCCCATCCCGCCAGAGATACTCCCAGCAAGTGAAATATCCTTAGTACTTACCTTTGTTTAGGAATCCCCGCCCCCCACGCCGCCTCCACGATTACTTTCGCAACCGCCTTCGGATGAACCGGAACCAGTTCCGCCGCGGGAAAGGGAAAGGGACTGAGACCGCGACGGGTCAGTCCGTTGTACAGCCTTCCTTGAAATCGTGATAACATCCAACTACTCTCATAAGACTTACAGGTCTTGAGCTCTGCTTACAGTCTTTTCTCTTTGAAAGGAGATCCAGGTAAAGTTTGTGGCATGGTTGGCTTTCTGTTTGTTTTAGCCTTCAACAGCACTAGGAGTTGTCTTTGCTATGTGAAGAATTGCTGCAATTATTCTAGTCTCTATGGTGGCCTAGTGCCAAAAAGCCGCACTGCAATCCCAAAGGCATGCTGTTCGAGGCTCCCAGCTGCTTCTCGGGAGAAGGCTGCGTAATCTCCTCCTGTGCGACTAACTGCCTCTGAAGACCCGCCGGAGTGTTAGCTATGGGTCAGTTCTAACTCGATGGTACACAACAACTACAATATGTATGTAATGTATACAGAAACAGTATAAGTGTATATATTCTGCTACTAAAGAGTTTGGAAATTGTTTTAAGGTGTGTTTTAAGCATAAACCATGCGATTATGATTCATTAGTTCATTCAATGAGTTATTAATGACCTGTGCATGTTAGGTCTTGCAACACGTTAGTGAATAATCAGTAACATTTCCTATTTTGTATCGCTTGTAGTATGAGAAGGTGGCCTGAAGGAGACATAGTAGTAATCAGTCCTTTTGTAAGAATGGTGATAACATAAATCCATGAAAGTTCTTTAAATGTTTTCAGCAAAATGGATGAATTCCTTTAGATTCACGTGTGTGGCGTTAATAGAGTTTTCTCATTCACATTCTAAGCAGCCTGTGTGCTACTTAAGAACATGCTGTCCTGTTTTTTTTTTTTCAGTTCATGTGATGAAATAAGACCCCAGCAAAAGAGAAGACTTCTACAGTAGGAAGAGAGACTCCATTTCTTAGACTTTGAAAGTAAGATGTGATTTATTAATAGCTGTGTACTATGTGTTGGCTTAAATGTGTTAAAAAGATACATCTCAGTTTATGATACCTTTTCTACATAGATCAGAAAGTATTGGTTTTATGAATTTTTTTAACTATGGAAAAATATATACATGCACTTCCTTTCTCTCTTATCCTGCCATGGTATCTATCATTTATTACCATCTGACATCTTATATGTGTGTGTGTGTGTGTGTGTGTGTGTGTATATTTGTTTATTTTTTGTGTCACTTATGTGTTTGAGAACATTATTTTCCTTACTGTTGCATCCCCATTATCTAGACTAATGACTAGTAATAATAGACAACCAACAAGTATTTGTTGGATAGATCTGTTAATAAATTACATTTCATTTTCAGAGTCTGTCAAATGAAGTCACTCTTTTTTATTGTAGAAGTGTCCTCTTTTGCAGTTCATTGTATGAGCTGGGGGAGGGGGGAACCCTGCAGGATAGTATGCTTTCAAATAACTACTTTCTATGCTTATTGAGTGGTAATTTAAAAAGCTCAGAAAGACCTAAAATGTTTTGTTGTCTTTTTTTTTTTTCTTCATTAAATGGCAAAGTACTCCCTCTGGCTCTCATTAAGCAAAAGGATTTTTTTTGTCATCTGGTCTTATTATTGTTGAGTCAGAACTGACTCATAGGTGACCCTTGAGGGTGTTATCAAAGGTTGTAAGCATGCATTAATTAATTAATTAATTAATTGTTGTTGTGTGCCCTGAGACCAAACCCAAAATCAAATTTGAATTAACTATTGTGTGTGCCCTAAGAACCACTCCATAGCTCACCCTCCAGTGAGATTTCAGAGGCAGTTAATCACTTAGGAGATTGTTCATCCTTCTCCCAAAAAGCAGCTACTGAATTTGAACCATGTACCTTCAGAATTGCAGCTGTTTCTTACCACTAGGACACTAGAGCTCCTTCTGAATCCATGCAAGAATATTTTAAAATGGTTTTGGCAACAACAACCACCAAAAAAAAAACAAACCAACCCAAACAACAACCCACTTAGCTATCTTAATTAGAAGAAAATTAATTAATACAGTATATATGAGTTTATAAAAACCCAAGACAGTAGAGCTGGGAGATTACAGACTATAACAGGAATATTTACAACAAAATTATCCTCTTGGACTCTGCTTCTTTTCTGCTATTTCCTTCATTCTTGTCTCTTCAGTGGGCTAACTTCTGTGTTTATTTCTATACACTTAGCCAAGCCATATTACCTTCTAGCTAAATTGCTAACAGAATATATTGTATTTGGCTTCTAAAGCAATTTTTTTTAAACAGAATTGCATCAGCCCAGATTAGATAATTGGTTCCTGTTACCTTATCTGATTGTGTTAAGAGAGAAGTAGTCTTTAGGAAAAGAGAGGAAAGCTAGACAGATGAGGATGGGAGGTTGGGAGGGGAATAATTTATTTTTTTTTAGGGAAATAATTTTTTAAAAAATCTTGGCATATGCAATTATTTGTCAATAATTATTAATAATCTATATACTGAAGACTGATATAAATAGAAAATGAAGTTTATAAGTATAGGAGAAACTATAATCTTATATGTAAGATTTTGCTGTGGAGCAAAATAATGCAATTTTTTCAGAACCCTCATAAAACTCACAGAATAAGCACAATTTAATTGGAAGGCATTCATTATATTTATATCATGCTTCACTGCTAAGTAAATACAGAAATCCAAAATTTAGAAAAATTTTGTCAACGAATACTACAGAGAAAGGGATTGCTCCAACCTTCAGTAGAATTTAAATTGTACAGTTGATTAATTGCATAAAAAAAATCAAGACTTCAATAAAGAAGTTGAAAGGTCTGTTGTCTGCAGCAAAATGAAATAACAAAAAGGTGATAAATATAATGTTATACAGTACTCAAGATTTTCTACTTGGGCTTGGGAAAGGAAAGTTTCCAAAAATCATATTTTATATGATTCTAAATAGGTAATGTAGGCATAATATATTTAAAATATTCATGCTGAATGCTCTAAAAAGCCAGTTGAATCTTAATTGAATCCAAAATCATTTCCCAAGTTGGCATTTCCTTCCATATCATTTAAAGCCCTCTGGAACTTGAACTCGCTTGTTGCAGAACTTCCTGCCAGATAGACTTCATACTGGTAGTTTTGGGACAGGGTCCCAGTGCCACTGATGTCCACCAAGTGGCCTGGAAAGTGACCCTCAGGCAATGAATAGCGACCCTCAAATACTGTTCTATTCCTCCTGCACAACTTCATAGCGACAAACATGAGCACAGAGAAGAGGAAGAGCGAGGAGACCGAGGCCAGCGCGATGACCAAGTAGACAGTGAGGGAGTCAGCGTGCGGCTCCTCAGAGGCCACCTCAGGCAGAGGCAGGTAGGGCTGAGAGAAGCCATCCACCAGGAGCACGTGCAGCGTGACGGTGACAGACAGGGGCGGCTCCCCATTGTCCTTGACCAACACCAGGAGCCTGTGCTTGGGTGCCTCGCGCTCGCTCAGCAGCCTGGCCGTGCGCACCTCGCCATTGTGCGCCCACACGCTGAACAGCCCGGGCTCTGTGGCCTTGAGCAGCTGGTAGGACAGCCAGGCGTTCTGGCCAGAGTCGCTGTCCACCGCCACCACCTTGGTGACCAGGTAGCCCGCCTCGGCCGCCCTGGGCACCAGCTCGGTGCAGGGCGCAGAGCCGTTCTGCATGGGGTACAGCACGAAGGGCGCATTGTCATTGTCGTCCATGACCACCACGCGCACCAGCGCCTCGCTGCTCAGCGCGGGGGAGCCCGCGTCCGTGGCGCCCACGCGGAACTCGAAGGCTCGCAGGGCCTCGTAGTCCAGCGACCTCACCGCGAACAGGTGGCCATTGTCCGCGTTGATGGACACCAGGGAGGCCAGGGCCAGGTGCGGGTCGTGGGGCGGCAGCAGCGAGTAGGTGACCTGGGCGTTGGCTCCTGAGTCTCTGTCTGTGGCGCTGATGGTGCCCATGTGCAGGGCGGGGCTGTTGTTCTCGCGGATGAACAGGGTGTAGGAGGCTTGGGAGAAGGCGGGCGCGTTGTCATTCACGTCGGAGACAAGTATGATTATTGTGTGTTCAGTTTTGAGTCTTGGGGACCCCAAATCGGTGACTCTTATGGTAATATTGTATTCAGCTCTGGTTTCTCTGTCCAGAGCTCCATCTGTCACCAACTTGTAGAAGTTTTCAATGGTGGGTTTCAGCGTGAATGGAACATCTTCTTGGATAGAACAAACCATTCTTCCATTTTCGCCAGAGTCTCGATCTTGAATACTGAAAAGAGCTACTGTGGTCTCCGGGGAATTTTCCGGGATGGGACTAATAACGGAAGCCATGATCAGTTCTGGAGTATTGTCGTTTATATCCAGTACTTCTACGATGACAGTACACTTTCCAGAAAGACCTGCCCCATCAGAGGCCTTAATGTTTACCTCATATGAAACAATCTTTTCATAGTCTAGAGTCTTGATTATTTTTATTTCTCCAGTGCGTTCATTAACTGCAAATGTTTTAGCAATCTCTTCATCACCATAAAAAAATGAGTAGACTATTTCACCATTTGTTCCTGTGTCTAAATCTCTGGCAGAGACAGTGACAATAAGGGATCCAAGTGGGCTGTTTTCTGCGATCTGTACACGAGAGAAGGGCTGAGCAAACTCAGGTGCATTGTCATTGATGTCTAAGACATCAATGAGGACCAGAGCAGTGCCAGTCTTTGGAGGAACCCCACCATCTACTGCCATGAGCGTTAATCTGAGCCTGGGCTGCTCCTCGCGATCCAGGGATTTGTCAAGCACCAGCTCAGGGTATTTTCTGCCCTCGCTGCCATTATGAGTGAGAACATGGAAATGAGAATTAGGGTAGATGGTGTAGTTTTGAATGTCATTGATTCCTATGTCTAAATCTTGTGCATTCTTCAGGGGAAATGCAGACCCTGGAAGACTGCTTTCCAAAATTTTCAAAATCATTTCTGCTTCTGGGAACACAGGGGCATTGTCATTTATATCAGTCACCAAAATGTTAAACCTATACACCTCTAAAGGTTCTTCTAGTAACATTTGGAATTGCAGCACACAAGGCTGAATGGGGCCACACAGTTCTTCCCGGTCAGGTTTCTCATTTACTTGCAAATCTCCTGTCTGAATGTCCAGCTTAAAGTGGTTTTTATTATCCTTAGAAATGACCCGCGCCCCCCGCAAGGACAACTCTCTTGTCCCTAGTTCTAGGTCCTTTGCTAGGTTGGCCACAAAAGAACCGCTCTCTGTTTCTTCTACCACAATATAGTCTCCCCTCTCCGCGCAAGTATGAACCAGGAAAACAAAGAGAAGCAGAACTTGCCTCAGTCTAGGGAAATGCTCCGACTTTGCCTCCATTTTGCCAACTCCAAAACGTTTCGTGCTGTAAAGTCTCACAGCTTCGGGGCCAGGTGTCTATTGGATCTACTAACTATTTGCTCCGGAATGTAGATGTGTCCGACAACGAATCTTCGCAGTAATACAGTTCAATTAAGAAAGCCTCTTCTTTTTAGTATGGATTATCTGCCGACCTGTTTTCCGCATCCTTAGCTTGCAGCGCCACCATGTGTTGTGTTAAACCAAGTTTTCTATACAATGCTACAAAACCGTGTTTCACTTCCTGAGATTTGGGACAAAACCCCAATGATAATGTGGGGGTGTTTTACAAATAAAAGTGGTAATTAACGTTTCTTGTAAGACTGTGAACGTGAAATGGGATCAAATGCTTTATTTTTAATTTGTTTGTTTATCCAACAAATATTGACATGTTGGGCACTGTGCTAAGTGCTGGAAATAAAAATCCGGTCTGCCTTCTTGAGGCTTAGAGCACAGTATCTACTGTGTACTGAGTGATGTGGAGGGACAGTGGGGACACTAAACAAACAAGGTATGTAGCCGCCAGTCTATTCCTAACGAAAGAATATATCTTTAAACTTAACCCACGGCTGTGGGGAGTGAAGAGACTGAATTACATATTTTGGGAGTATAAATTTAAGTGATAGATCTACTAGAACTGGATTATTGTGAAAATAACAGGAGTGGCATCCACTTCCTAAAGCACATGTCTGTGGAAACTCTGAACTTGGACAAACAACAGTAGCTATAGAAAAGTATTAGGTCTTTTGTTCATAGAGTCGCTATGAGTCATGCTCTACTCACAACAGAAGTTCATGAAGTTGTAATTTACTTGTAGATATTGTCTAAGGAAAATTCCTTTGTATTTCTATGAGCATATTATATCAACTTCTATTAGTAAAGAACATTTGCATTCATTATTAAAGATGTATACACGTTGAAGTAGAGATTAACTGAGATCTTGAAAAGGGGAACAAACAAGATTGTAAAGATAAAGAATTAAATGAAAATAAAGAGTAAAATGCAGAAGAAAATATGGGAGATTAATCTGAAGTAGCAGGTTAAACTTATTTTCAACCATTAAACATCTCAACTCTATTTCAGCAAGAAATTTACAGATCCATAATAGAGTGAACTCTTTAAATGGGCTTATGTCCTCAATTGTCCATACATTTAGGTTATTAATATATTTTTATACCAAGTGCGTGCATCTTACATGGGACTGAGGATCTTTTACTCCTAAGGAAGGGGACACTTTTGTCAGGTAGTTGCATAAAGTTGGGTGGGTATTTGCAATTTCTTCAACTCAATTAGTCTTTACCCAAAGTATTCTAACATACCAACTAACCTGGCTAGCTAGGAAAATGTAACATGGGTCAAGTTTATAAGAATTATTTTTCTATGGGTTCAGTTTTATTAGTAACAACAAAAATACACAAAATTACCGCTGTCAAATAAATTCTAACTCCTCTGTTTTATTTTGTGTTATGTTCTCTTATGAGGATATAATTCTGAGAAAAAGTGAAGATATCTCAAATTTCTATGTTATTTTTAAATATTTCTGGGCAAATAAAAATATAACAATAGACGAAACCCAGTTAATAAGATAGTCCATAAAATTTGTTGTAGCATTTATCTTTTAAAAGACTCCATTACTTACATAAATTAATCTCAAACAAAAGCTTTTGGTACAGATAACTTATCTTTAATATCATACATTTATATGCTGAACATTAATTTCTTCCAGATCGTGTTGAGCACAACAGCTTCCCATCTTCAATATGCCTTCTCATAAGACTTTCAGGATCAAGAGTGTGTTGGCCAAGAAGCAAAAGCAGAATCGTCCCATTCCCCAATGGATTCTAATGAAAACTAGCAACAAAATCAGATACAACTCCAAGAGAAGACACTGGAGAAGGACCAAGCTGGGTCTATAAGGATATGCACAAATGATGGCTGGGTCTATAAGGATTTGCACAAATGATGGCACACTTGTTTAGCTGGGTCCACTAGAATTCTACTGTTGGGAGTTAAAAAACTTGCCATGATCTGGTAAATATAACCTGTAATGAGAAGTATGCCACACCTTTGTTACGGAAAAAAAAATTAATGATGCATTCTGAGTGTTCGCGGGAGTTTTTGTTTTGTTTTTAACTTGTTGTGAGCTGTCGAATCAGATCCAACTGGCACAGGAGAGGAGACTGCCCCTCCTTTAACTTGTTGTGAGCTGTCGAATCAGATCCAACTGGCACAGGAGAGGAGACTGCCCCTCCTTCTCCAGAGGAGCATCTGGTGGATTTGAACCATGCACACTCGGGACTGCAGCGCAGCTTCTTGCAACTAGGCCACCAGAGCTTCCTAAGTACTCTTTAAGTACCTGGAAAGTCTCTTTTGGTTGGAAAACCGCCACTTTCCAGTAGTTTAGAGAAAGGACTTTTATCATTAGGACATGTGAATCTTTTTATAGAATCCAAGAACAACAATGCATTGAGGATACAGTAGGGACTAGAGCTATATCCACTGTATTCTAATCTCCTGCTTCCACTTCCTTATTCCGTCTCTCTTTTCCCTTTCTTCTTCCCTTCCTCCCTCCTTCATTAGATGCTATGTTTTACTCCCAGTCTACACAAACATGGTCACTTTAGACTATACTTAACATTAATTTCCTAGTTATAAGTAAGCAAGAAAGGGAGAAAATAGGTGAATTATATTTTAACTGCAAATCCAGGGGCTATAACAATGTGATTTTTCCAGCTTTCCTCAAATGCCTATGACTAGACAAATTTTTTAAAAAGGCCAAGAGAGGCACATACACTATGTAGTGAGTTGTACAAGGAAGTTCTCAGACAAGAAAGAAATGAGGGCTGGAGATACAGTGTAAGTGTCTAAACAAGAATTTGAGTTAAGAAAAGATTATCAGCAATAAATGTAGTCTACAAATATTTATGGGCCCAGCATTATTCTGCACAACTCTGCTTACAAGTACTTATGGAAAAAAAAATAAAAAGACTGAAATGCAGAAAAATTACTTGGAATATTTGGCAAAAAAGTAGAATGGGTTGATTACATCTTTAAAAAATTTTTTAAGGTTTACAAATCATTGGCTTTTCATGTAATCATTCATAGACATTTTGTTGTATAACATTTCCATTGATCAATGTACTTAATTACAATGGCTAAATGGCAAAACCTAAGCGAGATACTGTTTCTTAAACCAGTCTTACCAGAGAATAGCTGAGCCATTGCATAGATTCTAATAATAACCGTAAAGGCAGATGAGAAATGTACTGTGGGGCCTTCAATGGTTGTAAATCTTTAGGGAAGCAAACTGCCAACTTTTCCTCGAGAGGGCACATGGGTTTGAAATGCTGACCTTTCAGTTGGTACCTGAACACTTTAATCATTGTGCATTGGGCTCCTAACCTGACCTAATAGTAAAGTACTTATATTTGTATTCATTGCATACATTTTCTAAATAATATCAAACATGCCTATTCTCAACAATTATAAAACAGATTAATTTTTTTTCAGCAGAATGTAGAGCCAGAGCATTTAAGGACCATGACTGAATCAGTGTGTAGTTAAGCTTGATGGGAAAATGCTACAAATGTAAATAAATGAATTGCGGTCAGTAGGAGAACAGATACTACGCTTTCTATCTTTACAAAGGTAATATGAAGAAGAGAAGAAAAGAGAGGCTAAAATTACACACTGATTTTTTTTAAAGTCTGAGATAAAATGACCCCCCCCCAAAAAAAGTACAAGGAATAAAATTTCAAAGTTGCATCATAATCAGAATCCTAACTGAACCCTAAGCCGTTAAGAAAAGTAGATCTTTCCTCCATTTCCCTTTCAGTGTCCTGGGGTTCAAGGTTGGGAATAATTGGCTTCAAGAACTTGAATTCATTTGTCCCAGAACCTCCCGTCAGACACACCTCATATTGGTAGCTCTGAGACAGAGTTCTGGTGGCGCTCAAGTCCACCAAGTGGCCGGGAAAGTGACCTTGAGGTACTGAGAAGCGATTCACCGAAGATGCCCGGCTCCTCCTGCACAGCCTCAGGGTGACAAAAAGGACCACAGAGAAGAGGAAGAGCGAGGAGACCGAGGCCAGTGCGATGACCAAGTAGACAGTGAGGGAGTCAGCTTGCGGCTCCTCAGGGGCCACCTCAGGCAGAGGCAGGTAGGGCTGAGAGAAGCCATCCACCAGGAGCACGTGCAGCGTGACGGTGACAGACAGGGGCGGCTCCCCATTGT